GACAGTGTGGTGACGTGTTTTATAATACAGGGACGCTGTGGTGATGACACTTATTATAAAGGGACGGTGTGGTGATGACACTTATTATAGAGGGACGGTGTGGTGATGACACTTATAATAGAGGGACAGTGTGGTGATGACACTTATTATAGAGGGACGGTGTGGTGATGACACTTACTATAGAGGGATGGTGTGGTGATGACACTTATTATAGAGGGACGGTGTGATGATGACACTTATTATAGAGGGACGGTGTGGTGATGACACTTATTATAGAGGGACGGTGTGATGATGGCACTTATTATAGAGGGACGGTGTGATGATGACACTTATTATAGAGGGACGGTGTGGTGATGACACTTACTATAGAGAGACGGTGTGGTGATGACACTTATAATAGAGGGATGGTGTGATGATGACACTTACTATAGAGGGACGGTGTGGTGATGACACTTATTATAGAGGGACGGTGTGGTGATGACACTTATAATAGAGGGACGGTGTGGTGATGACACTTATTATAGAGGGACGGTGTGGTGATGACACTTATAATAGAAGGAAGGTGTGATGATGACACTTACTATAGAGGGAAGGTGTGGTGATGACACTTATAATAGAGGGACGGTGTGGTGATGACACTTATTAATAGAGGGACGGTGTGGTGATGACACTTACTATAGAGGGACGGTGTGATGATGACACTTACTATAGAGGGACGGTGTGGTGATGACACTTATAATAGAGGAACGGTGTGATGATGACACTTACTATAGAGGGATGGTGTGGTGATGACACTTATTATAGAGGAACGGTGTGGTGATGACACTTACTATAGAGGGACGGTGTGGTGATGACACTTACTATCGAGGGACGGTGTGGTGATGACACTTACTATAGAGGGACGGTGTAGCACTTCTAACATCTGTGGTGATGACACTTTCATGCAGGGACGGTGTGGTGATGACACCTTTTTATACAGGGACGGTGTGGTGGTAACACTTATATAGAGAGACGGTGTAGTGATGACACTTATTATAGAGGGACGGTGTGGTGATGACACTTATAATAGAGGGATGGTGTGGTGATGACACTTTTTAAACAGGGACGGTGTGGTGACGTGTTTTATAATACAGGGATGGTGTGGTGATAAAACTTATTATAAAGGGGTGGTGTGGTGATGACACTTATTATAAAGGGAAGGTGCGGTGATGACACATATTATAGAGGGACAGTGTGGTGACGTGTTTTATAATACAGGGACGGTGTGATGATGACACTTATTATAGAGGGACGGTGTGATGATGACACTTATTATAGAGGGACGGTGTGATGATGACACTTATTATAGAGGGACGGTGTGATGATGCCACTTATAATAGAGTGACGGTGTGGTGATGACACTTATAATAGAAGGAAGGTGTGATGATGACACTTACTATAGAGGGACGTTGTGGTGATGATACTTATCATAGAGGGACGGTGTGGTGATGACACTTATTATAGAGGGACGGTGTGATGATGCCACGTATAATAGAGTGACGGTGTGATGATGACACTTATTATAGAGGGACGGTGTGGTGATGACACTTATTATAGAGGGACGGTGTGATGATGGCACTTATTATAGAGGGACGGTGTGATGATGACACTTATTATAGAGGGACGGTGTGGTGATGACACTTATTATAGAGGGACGGTGTGGTGATGACACTTATAATAGAGTGACGGTGTGGTGATGACACTTATAATAGAAGGAAGGTGTGATGATGACACTTACTATAGAGGGACGGTGTGGTGATGATACTTATCATAGAGGGACGGTGTGGTGATGACACTTATTAATAGAGGGACGGTGTGGTGATGACACTTACTATAGAGGGACGGTGTGGTGATGACACTTATTATAGAGGGACGGTGTGGTGATGACACTTATTACAGAGGGACGGTTGTGGATTTTTTTTTACCAGTAGTGGCAGATGCACACAGGTGGTATATTTTTATATAACACTTAGAACTCTCGTGACATGATCTAATAAATGGGCACTATCGTGGTCTGCTTTAATGGTGCCGTGTGATGCTTTTGTGAGAAGTTCGGATTCAAACCCCAGTTGTTTTATTTTTCTGCTGCTCCTAGTCCACAGTTTCACATGTGTCCAGTGCCAAGAAAAGACATGTGTCGTTCTACTGGACAGCACCAGTCCTGGCCTCCGGCCATGTCGTCATCAGGTGAGCGGCGAGGCTTTCAACATTACTTTCGTTACTTTTAATTTAAATGTCATAATGTGGTGGTGTGTGACATTACAAGGTAATACTATTTATGTGGTGGTGTGTGACATTACAAGGTAATACTATTTATGTGGTGGTGTGTGACATTACAAGGTAATACTGTTTATGTGGTGGTGTGTGTGACATTACAAGATAATACTATTTATGTGGTGGTGTGTGACATTACAAGATAATACTGTTTATGTGATGGTATGTCACATTACAAGACAGTACTGTTTATGTGATTGGTCTGTCACATTATAAGATAATACTGTTAATGCGACGTAGACTGTACAGCTACAGTAAGTACGATTTCATTAATTTCAAAGATAGAAAACCAATGTTAGCATCTTGAGCGTAACTAATCGCTATAAACATTTTGAAGTAATTTTTTTTAAAAATATTAAGCACAATTTTTTTGTGAGTTGTTTAATTTTTTAATTTTTTTTTTTTTTTTACGAGTGTCAAGGTTGACGTTTGAAGTAAGTAGCAGTTTACTGCGGGCTGCTCACTTCCACCAATCAAATTTATTCTCTCTCATACTCTACCTCTCTAGTTTAACTCTAGTTCTACATGCCTAACTCTCTACCTCTGCTTCACTATCTCTCTAACTCGACCTCTCAGATAACCTCTCTATCTCTTTAACTACCTCTCCGCCCCTATAACCACCTCTCTATCTTTTTGACTAGCTCTCTGTCTCTTTAAGTACCTCTCTATCTTTTTAACCACCTCTCCATCTCCTTAACTCTACCAGTCTATCTCTACCTCTTTATATCTCTATATCTCCCTCTCTATCGCTCCCTCTTTATCGCTTTATCTCTACCTCTTTACCTTTCTATCTGTATCCATCTATCTCTACATTTTAATCTTTCTATCTGTAGCTATCCTCAACCCTTTATCTCTCTGTCAATACCTTTTTACCTCTCTATCTCTACCTCTTCATATCTACCTCTTGATCTCTATCAATACCTCTTTACCTCTCTCCCTCTATCGCTTTGTCTGTCTGCCCACAGAGCCACCATTGTCCAGGACAGGCAAACGTTCTGGGTGGACGTTGAGTCCCCTGCACTGATCGACCTCCAGAGCAAAGACACGCCTACTTGTGTTAGCCACACCCACCAGGAGGGTTATGACTTCGACCATGACGTCATCAGCTACCAAGCGAAAAAATCCCTAGCCGAAGGTGCAACGTCTGGCACAGAAAACATTGCCAGAAGATATTGGACCCTCCCACTTCTGCTAGTAGTGATAGCCACACCGGCAAAGTGAATTCATCTAATAAATCAGAACGCGGCTAAATTTTGTTCTTTTCTTATTTGTGTGTATTTTTGAAAGCTTTTATAATAATAATAATAATTGTGTATAAAATTTACAATTATAATAATAATAAATTGTTTGATATTAAAATACTCGAAATATTGGCGCATTCGGTAATGGTTA